GGTCTGAAGTGTGTCTCTTGTATGCAGCATATATATGGGTCTTGTTTTTTTATCCAGTCAGCCACCCTATGCCTTTTAATTGGAGCATTTAGTCCATTGGGAAGTCATCAATTTTCTAGTGGACTTTTTATCAGGCTACAGCATCCTTGATCTCCCCATAACCGACACTGCTCTCTCCTTCTCTCCAATTCTCTTATTTTGGCCTATATGATACTATGATATGCTATGAAGTAGCATATCTGATATCTGATAAAGTAGCAACATTGTATATGATGTAAAAGTATAAACATTTATAGCTGACCACATATGCTTATGTTTATCCATGGTAGACAAAACATAGCTCTGCATGATCAGGTACCTCCATCCTTAATGCCTTCCCAAAGCGAGAAAAATAGTAAGAGCGGGAAAATTTTGCTACACTTCACCAACAGGTTTTGGTACTGGACGTTCATTTTATATTCTTCCCACATTTCAAATACTCTGCTCTTCCTTTTTCTAAGAAATTATTTTATTTTACTACCTTACAGTATATACACTTGCTTCTTTTTCCTTCACTTACTCCCTATACTCTCTGCCTTTCTCAGTCTTCATTCCCTCTTTCACTCTTTTCCTCTTCCTTATTTCCTGACTTTCCTTAGGTCTTAGATTGTCCTGAAACGGAACTGATAATTCAACTCCTCTAGTGGCACTCTCAATTTAAGCCGTTGCTGACATCTGATAAGAAATGCAACTGATCTCCTTTTCATGTCTCTTTTTCCTCAGTATGCATTTCATAGGTGATTTTCTTTAGCTATTGGAATATATCAGTATTCATGTTTTAAATCAACATTCTGTCAAATGACTTTTTATAAAATACACTTCTTACCTTCTACTTGTTCATTTAATATATTTTTTCCTCTTTGGTCTGCAGGTCCAGATAAATGATCAACATACTTCTGTGGAAGACTCTCAGAAATACTCTGTTAAAATTAACAATGAGGTGCATAAAGATTTTCTAATCTCTTTGTAAGAAAATATCTCAATGTCCTACTTTAAAAGCAATTAGACTTAAAAGTAAGAGAAGCATGTATTAAAACCAAAACCTTTAAATAGAAAACTCCATATACGCTCTCTAGATCAAGTCTACCTTGTATCTTCATTTGGCTATTGACTCTGTAAACTGAGCACAGAAAGCCAGAGTAAATATTTTCATAGACAAATACTGACTTACATGCACATTTCAACTAACTTCAAAACACCTAACTCTATTTGGTAGTCCTCACCAACATAAGAAGACATTTTTAAAAATACATATTTAAACAAATTCTGTAAAAAGTATACTTGCTATAAATTTAAAATAATTCTAATGACAGAAATTATTTTAGGGTTAAGATCCTTGGAATGATAAGAAAGCTTAGAGTATGTCACGTTGAGTATAAACAGAACACTGTAGAAGCTGCTTCATTTAGGTAAACAAGGGCTTGGAAGAACCTATTATTCGATAAAATTTTTATTCATAGGAAAAACGGTTGAATAAAATAGCAAAGTACTAAGAAAAGATTTTCTTAAAATTATGTTTAAATAATAGCACAAAATTTTAGATATAGCATGCAACTCTTCAAAAAAGTATAGTGAGCTTTTAAGGGAAGAATAAGACCATTTATGTATTAACCATCTAAATGCACCACTTACTATCCACATTTTCTTTTCTACACACAACAACAATAATAAAAATGATGTGATGATGGTTACCTCACTTCCTGCTCCCTGGTCATTCCACAATGGTAGACTAAAATGATGAACAGATGTGATCCACTATTCTCTCTGTCCAGAATGTCCCTCTCCTAAGACCTCACACGACTGGCTCCTTCTCATCCTTCATTTGGCAGCTTGTGTCACACTCACAGAGATCTTTTTTGACCATCTAGATTCCACTCCCACTCCCATCCCCACCCTAACCACAAACTCCCCCAATATTCTCTAACCTAACATTCTCCATTTCCTTTATATGAAGCACTCATAGTGACTCATAACGGATTGTTGTTGACTTGTTTTTCTGTTCCACCCACTACAGCCTAACCCCTCAACTTGTACATTCAGTGTCTAACTGCCTGGCACATAGCTGGTATTCAATAACAGAAATTTACTTAAGGTCAGAACATTTATATTCTTTTTTTTTTTTTTTTGTGAGGAAGATCAGCCCTGAGCTAACATCCATGCTAATCCTCCTCTTTTTGCTGAGGAAGACCGGTTCTGAGCTAACATCTATTGCCAATCTTCCTCCTTTTTTTCCCCCAAAGCTCCAGTAGACAGTTGTACGTCATAGTTGCACATCCTTCTAGTTGCTGTATGTGGGATGCGGCCTCAGCATGGCCGGAGAAGCGGTGCGTCGGTGCGCGCCCGGGATCCGAACCCGGGCCGCCAGTAGCGGAGCGCACTCACTTAACCGCTAAGCCACGGAGCTGGCCCCAAGGTCAGAACATTTAAAATCTCATTGAAAAGGCCTCAAGAAACAAAGCACTATATATCTATAGGATATCTCCACTAGTAGTCTACTGAAAGTTAATATACCCCAAATTAGAAATCCACACGCCCGTTCTCACTTTCCCATTCTTTTCTTGACACTACTGTCATTTTATTGCCCTTCAGGTTGGAAAAAAGTGTCTTTAATCTTTAGTAAGTCACTATGGGGCCGGCCCAATGGCACAAGCAGTTAAGCACGCGCACTCAGCTGTGGCAGCCCGGGGATAGCCGGTTCGGATGCCGGGCGCGCACCAATGCACCACTTGTCAAGCCATGCTGTGGCAGCGTCCCATATAAAGTAGAGGAAGATGGGCATGGATGTTAGCCCAGAGCCAGTCTTCCTCAACAAAAAAATACAAGGATTGGCAGATGTTAGCTCAGGGCCAATCTTCCTCATAAAAAAAGAAAAGAAAAGAAAAGAAAAAAAAATAGAAAAAAAAAATCTTTAGTAAGTCACTAAATACCACTGTGATCACTGTGCCTCACCTTTCAACAGCACCCTTTACAGTTTACAATGTGTTTTCACATTTGTTACCACAGTTGTTCATTCCACATACCTGAGAAGTAGGTATCCATCTCATTTTTATGAATGAAGTCACTGACATTTGAACAGGTTAAAGAAGTTTTTCCAAGATCCCATAGCTAGGAAGTGACAGAACCAGGATGCTAGCATGTCTTTTGACTTCCAATATGGTGCTCGTACCACTGTGCAGCAGTTGCCTATGTCTAAGAGATCAGGCCCTTATCTCTTTCCAGAGTTGCCACCTTAGAATAGGCCATCATTACTTTACACTTACAGTACTACAAGTATGGCTGCCATAAAGGTACTCAATGCATGCTACTTAAACTGTCCAAAATGGTTTTTACTTATTAAAACACCACTAAACCAAATTGTTATTTTAATTCCACATATTTATTACTATTCCCCATGCTTTTCCTTCTCCTGAAATATTCCTTGCAGGTCTACTTGACAATCCAAATACAATAACACTTTCAAGTCCCAGGCATTATTTTTTCACGTTCCAAGTTGTAAAAAAACTATGATCCTAACTGTTTCTCTCTGAATCTCCTTAGGAGTTTTACACATCCATATGTACCACAGAATCATGCGTTTGGCCATCAGTTGACCCAGAATAATTCTTTAGTTTTTAGATAAATTTATCTTCAGAACCCAAACTGATTCTTTGTGACTTCTAAGCCTTGATTGTTTGCACTCTGCTACACTGGTTTCACTACATGAATCTTGCAAATCAGCAGAACTGAGAACTGTACTATGCAGTAGTATTATATTTAGTACCTAATTACTTTATTAATTATAGGTTGAAAAATATAACGAAATAGTTTTGATGGGCAAATGCAGAGGTGAGAAAGTAAAGTCAAAGCCTCCCGTTTTATGTTTTAACATCATTTAATGCTTACATTTAAAATAATAATAATAGAGAAAGTACCTCAGAATCCCAAGGTGATTCTACATCTTCCTCTTCTCCTAATCCTAATGCTGACATCAGATCTATAAGATGTAGTCACAGATACATTAATGAGAACATTTATTACCATGAATTTTAAATACATATACAAGTCTATCTCCATTCATGAATACTTCAATAAAATAAAATAGCAGAAAAGAATTTCAGAGGGTTGAAGCATTTTCAGTATGAAAATGTTAGTAGTAGTTGGGAAGAAATGAAGAAAGACAGCAAAAAAAAAAATACTTAGAAGAAATAGATATCATATTTGGATGTATACACTTCAGATTTTTTTATACTAGCATTTAAGCACAGAAAAAAATTCACAGATATTCACTAACTTACCACTTCTATTATCTTTGTGTGCTCCATCAACAGAGGTCAAATTGTCATTATTTGTTTGCTGTTGTGGAGCACTTTCAGTAACATCAATACCATTTTCTTTTTTTGCAATTTCTGGCTTTGTTGCTCCTTCCTATAAAAGCAAAACAAAACAAAACCCAACTTCATATTCATTCATTCATTCAAACCCAAAAACATCATATTCATTCATTTGCTCAGTTAGTCAGTCAGTCAGTCAGTAAGACAACAAACATTTACTGTATCTGTGAAATCAGAGGCACTATCCTGGGAGAAGCTGGAAATAGAAGTAAAAGAGATTTTAGTGGAGGTAGAGATACAAGAAAACAAATAGTAACAGAGAAGCATCATTCACCAGTTCTAGAACTGATGTGAATCAAGTACAGTAAGCGCACAGAGAAGAGACAGTCAAGTGTATCTGGGAAGCTCAGGAAAGGCTGCAGAGATAGGGCTGGATCTCAAAAGATAGATCAAGTGCAGAGGGAGGGTGTGAAGGGCATTCTAGAAAGGGAAGCATGAGCAGAAGGATGAGGTATGAAACAACAACATAAGTGAGGGGACCAAAGTAACGTGGTAAAACTAGAACACAGATATTGAAAATGGGATGGAGATAAAACTGGAGAATCAGAACCAAACCCAAAGGCAAGTGTCACGCTAGCAGGTAAACTTTATCCCTCATGTAATGGGGACCCACCACATCAGCAGAGGAGTCACCCCATCACAAATATATTTTAGAAAGTCACTCTGCAGCAATGTAAAGAAGAACATAAGGGGAGCAAAACTAGAAAAGAGTACTTCGAAATTATAGGTGAGAAAGTCAATTATGGTAATAAGATATGAAAAATGGTGAGTGACTGGATGTGGGATTTCAGGGAGGGCTGGAGTCCAGGATGTTCCCTGCTTCAGTGTTTCAGCGGTGCTGGATAGGAGAACAGATGACAGAGTAGATCACAAAGAGTGAGGAAAGAGCAAGGGGTCAGGGACAACGTCTGCAGTTTGGGATACAGCAAATTTGAGGCACTCAGGGGACTTCGAAGAAAGATTTGGATAAATACACTTGGGATAGGAATAGATAACCTTACTCAGGAAAAGCATAAGATACTAATAAAATGAATATTTGTAAAATATACTAAACTGATATAACTAAATAATGGAAGTCTACACAGAACCTTGAAATTTTGAAAATAAAAACAAGAGTAGGGGAAAAAAAACAATGGGATTCAATTTTTCAATTATATATTTCAACATTTGTTTCAAGGATACAAAATATACCCTTTTACAAATATATGCAAATATTAATTTGGGGGATACAATAAAAAGCATTTTTAGCTGAATGAAAAGATTTCATTGTAAAGCATCAATTCAAGATGTTACAAGACTCCTTTTTAAAACTTATGGGGCCGGCCCCGTGGCTTAGCGGTTAAGTGCGCGCGCTCCACTACTGGCGGCCCAGATTCGGATCCCGGGCGCGCACCGACGCACCACTTCTCCGGCCATGCTGGGGCCGTGTCCCACATACAGCAACTAGAAGGATGTGCAGCTATGACATGCAACTATCTACTGGGGCTTTGGGGGGAAAAAAATAAATAAATAAAATCTTTAAAAAAAAAAAAATTTTAAAAAGGCAAGTTTTAAGTTGTAGCAGAGAAATGCTCATGTGATTACAGAATTATGATACATACATCTCTCTTGTTATTACACTTGTTTTCTATCATGATCTTGAGGACTTCCACTCTTTCTAAGATTCTTTTCATCATTACAAGGATTAGGGGATGGTATGTGAAAAAGCATGGGGAGAAAAGTTTAAAACAAAACAAAACAAAACAAAACAACTTACCTTCGTAAGATCAAGGTCTGCAAAAGGCCTCATAGAAGGTTTTAGAAGAGGTTCAGGTGATGGAAAGGCAAAATGAGAAAAGCCCTGGACTTTGATTGATGGTTTGGGAAGGGTTTCAACCACACCTTCATTTTCACTATCAGAATTATTGTCCTCAAATAACGTTCTATTTTCTGGTCTCACAATATCACGTTTTGATTCTACTATAATAAAAACAAAGTAAAGAGTACATGAAAACTGTAATTTCAAATCAGTGAATAACACAAAAATGAACAGTCTTCAAACAGCTTACTGTTTTTCTTGGATTGCTGGAAAGCAGTCATTAGCTTTGTTAAGCTTGGTTTCGAGACATTCTAGAAAAAAAAATAACAACTTTAAGAATAACAAGTATCAAGTTTGATAAAACAATTATAATATTGACCATTACTATAAGACCTAACACAAAGAGCACAGGTTTTGCAGTCATTCAGACGTAGGGTCAAATCTCAGTTCAGCCATTTACTATCCTGCATCTTATCATGGGGTGAGGATTATGAGAGATGACATTGGTAGCCCCAATATGTCACTTCCTTTACCCCTAATTGATTATTATACAAATACTGTGATATCCATGAGATTATTTTTTTTACCAAAATAACCTAAAACAAAAATTTATCCCAAGGTAAAGTATTACTGAAAAACTAACATTAAGAAACTTAAATTAATTATTTGTTACATTTTAAAATGTGTTTGCATCATTTATGTTTGCCTGAATTATCTCTTTTGGGGGGAAATACGACAGTTTAATTTTTAGTAGTATCTTATTTAGAAGAGTTGGAATCATAAACAGTATAAATTGCTCGTATTCTGTTTGTCAAAAAGCTCAAGAAAAATGATTATTTCAATCTAGCTCCTTCTAAGACAGAGGAAAAAAAAAAAAGAATAAACCTATGGGGCAATGATTCATGAATGAAAGCCACACACATACTAAATAGAAAGCCATAACCAAATATGTTGACAATGGAGACAGAGAGAGAAAGATTGAAAGAATAGACATTGAAGAAATGTTTTCCACAAGGAAAAAATTAGCTAGGGTAAATCATAAAAAAAAAATGGTGGGAAAGGAGGAAGAAAGGAAAAAAATGAGACATGACCAGTCAATCAAGTATGAGCTTAAGACAAGAAAAAAAAGGAAAATGGAAGTACAATAGGGTATGTGAAGAAATATACGCATACTTCAGTACATATAAATATATGTATCAGTAATATGTTAGTATTATTAGGGCTGTACTGTACTAAGGCTTTTGTTCATAGTATAGCCCTAATAATACTGATTTATATTACTTTATAATCACTTGTTTATAAATATTACCATAATAAAGAGTTTAATTTTGTCACTATGGTAAGTCATTCAATTAGCTGAACATGGTCATCTATCACTACCTGAAAACTGTAAATTATTACAAGACAGAGAGAAAAATAGAAGAAGAAATGTTCCTAACACATCAAGCTTCCACCTGGAGAAAGAATTGGTAATCAGAAATCTAAGGAGAAATGTATGGCTTGAAAAGATATACAGTTAGCGCTCCGTTTCCACGCGTTCCGCATCTGCAGATTCAACAAGCCTCGGATCATGTACAATACTACGTTACGATCCACGGCTGGTTGCATCCCCGGATGTAGAACGCCCAGATACGACTAAGGGACTTGAACACCCGTGGATTTTGATATCCGCAGGGGTCCTGGAACCAATCCCACGTAGATACTGAGGAATGACTGTATTTAATGGAAAATGAAATGGGGCTAAAAAAAACATTGAGAAATTTTAATCTAAAATTCTAAGCTCACAACCAGAGGATACTAAAACAGACACTGTAACCTACTTTCTTATGACATATTTCTTATTTTATGACATATTTCCTCAACATAACTCAATTGAACTTATACATCCTAAACATTAAAAGGGAATGTAAATTTAAGCCATATTTCTAGAAATTCAAATAGATTTAATTATGAGATATATTATAACTAATATATTACTTGTAACATTACATTATAGTAGTCCCCGCTTATCCACCATTTCACTTTTCTGTTTCAGTTACCCTGGGTCAACCACAGTTGGAAAATAACACTGTCACAATGTATACGTCTCTCCTCTCACTTCATCTCATCATGTAGGCATTGTATTATCTCACATCATCACAAGAAGAAGGGTAAATACAGTACAGTAAGATATTTTAAGATAGAGAGACCAGATTTATACAACTTTTTTTGTGTGTGTGAGGAAGATCAACCCTGAGCTAACATCCATGCCAATCCTCCTCTTTTTGCTGAGGAAGACTGGCCCTGGGCTAACATCTGTGCCCATCTTCCTGCACTTTATATGGGATGCCGCCACAGCATGGCCTGAAAAGCGGTGCGTCGCTGCGCACCTGGGATCCGAACCTGGGCCACCAGCAGTGGAGTGTGTGCACTTAACCACTAAGCCATGGGGCCGGTCCCTCACATAACTTTTATTACAGTATATTGTTAGACGTGTTCTATTTTATTATTAGTTACTGTTGTTAATCTCTTATTGTGACTAATTTATAAATTAAACTTTATCCTAGGTATGTATGTAGAGAAAAAAACATAGTATATACAGGGTTCAGTACTATCTGCAGTTTCAGGCATCCACTGGGGGTTTAGAACCTATCCCCAGCAGATAAGGGGGGACTACTGTATACAGAATTCCATTTGTCTGTTCATTTATTCACAATCAAAAAATATTACAGTGCTTCTTACATGGAAGACCTTATTCTAGGTGCACCAGAATACGCACAGTTCTGTTTCCTAGAATACGCACAGTTCTGTTTCCTAACCTCCAGTAGCTTATAGTGATACAGGGTTTTACAATGAATATTTAAATAACCATAATACAAAATGTCTGAAATTTGAAACTTTACGTGATACAAGGACTTTGGGTAGATATATTTAAAAACTATATTAAAAAATTTTCTGAAATTTGAAGTATTACCATATGGTTATTAGGAGTCTGTTTCTAGAACTGGTTATTATTTTAGGCAAAACGTATTTTCAATTAGATGAAGAGTTTTAAATACACTACTCTTAATGGAATGATTTAGAAAACATAGTAGAATCCCTCTGTAATATGGATTTTGAGAAAGAATTTAAATTTCTAAATTTCTACAATTTCTAATATTAGTTTAGTCCAAATGCAGAACCAAGGATAAAAACGGACAAAAAACTCCCTCCTAACAACTATGTGATACCAAAATAAAAAGTGTCCAAGAAAAAAACAAAAGAAAAAAAACAAAACTATATGATACATGCTACATAGTTTTGGAACTGAAAGGCACCAGGGGGATTCTGTGATTATTACAATAAGTAACTGGATCCAGTAAAGATTTCCTTTAGGCGTGAGTATCATAAACACCATGTACGATTTAAAAGTCACAGTGAAAATCCTCATCCCTGACCACATCTCCTATTTCCTCCACTGTGGGAAAGCTTCTGCCATTGTAATCTTCCTGTCTCTATATATCTTCCAGTCCGTTCTCTCCTTCAGCCTCCACCTTCAGCACTTACCAAAGTAAAAAAAACTTAACTAGTCATACTTCTATAAAATGGTCTGCTCTGACCAACTTTCCATTACAAAGATAAACGATGATAGGTAGACCCTGATAAATTTTACGAGTAAATACTACACAAAACTCAAGTCAGAGCAGGAATATTCATTTCACGAGAGAGCACTTTACCTTGGTATCAAAATCTAAGCCTTCATCATCCGAAGTAGGCCATGAATCATCAACGCCAGGTTTATTGGAAAGCCTTTAGAGCAAAAATGTACAACAAAAAGAAGTGAGTTCATTGCTTTAAAAAAAACAAAAACAACAAAAAATAGAGTGAAAGGTTGGCTATCTATATATTAAATGAAGTTTCTTGATATAATTAAAATTTGGCCTCTGTTTTAACCAAGCTTTACTTATCTATTCCTGCCTCCACCTCTGCCCACCTATGAAATATCCAATGAAGACCCACTCTAAGTTCCCTTAACAAAGAGTGACAGCCAATACAAGGGCAGAGCCTGAGAATAACTGGTTTTCACCAAAAGTCCTGAAGGCTGACTTGAAAATCCAATTAATGGCTGATATAACTTTTGCTACCTGAACGAGAACAAATCTGATGACCTAAAACAAGGCAGAATGATATTGTCCCTTCTCCATTGTCTGTCCCTGGTTCAAAGACTAATCCATGTCAGTCACAAATGGCAGTCTTGGTTCTTCAGCATGGAAAGCACTTATTAAGGTGACCCTGTTCCTTCCTTTTACCCCAAAACAGTATAGGGAGTTCCCTGAAATATTTGAAATGTTTGAGTTGAATGCACAAAAGTCAAAGAACAAATTTACATGTTGTTAGTGGGAATACTATTCCCATAGAGACTACAACATTATGAAGTCCAATTAGTTTTTCTATACAGGTCCTCCTCATTTAGGTCCACATACAGCAGCAAGCCCTTAAAAACCTTCATAGGCACCCAGATACCCAAGGAGGAAGACTGCTGTAAACAGAGAGTCCTGGCAGTGGTGCCTCTGTGTCCCTGTACCATTTACATATCTTCCTTCCTATGGCTTCCTACTCCCAGATCACTCTTCTGCAGGGGTCCATGACAGTCCCCAACCTTTAAATCTTCAGCCTATGAAGGCACAGACTCCTGAAACAAGGATGGGCTCAAATGACCAAGAGTAGGAGCTGTCTATTTCCCTGCTCCTGGAAAACAAGCTAAATGGAGTCTCAGTCGTCCACTCCCAACATAGGCATGTTACCAACTACCCAGCTGAAGTCCCATTACTGACCTGACAGCCAGTCCTACCCCTGCCCAACCCTACATGGACATGGAAAGCACATCAGTGAACTGGGAAAAAGAAGTGGAGATGAGGAGACACCTGCCTTGGGCCATAGATCTATGTAGCTCAGCAATCTCCAGTCCCCTAGGACTCAAGGGGATTGAAGCCGGGGTGGAGGTAGATGATACCACATTCCTATTTGCTATAAAAAGAATCTTTCCCGTGGCTCAAATTATTTTAATATCTTTTGATAGAAACCTTGAAGTTTTCTAGCTGTTCCAATTAAACAAACAAAAAAGCAACCTATTCAGCACTCCCTTGAACTCCCTATATTAACATGTTTTTCTAGACAACTCCCAACATCCTGTGTCCTTCATTCCTGTAATTTGTCTTTATCTAACTTGTCATAAACCCCAGTATTCTGATCTCTTTTCTCTTATCTGATCTAACATCCTTATTCCTTTCCCAACCCAGTGTTGTTCCTCTTGAAACTTGGCCCTCTGCTGATTTCATTCTTATCCTCTTCCATTGCATTCATTAGAACCACTCCCCACCTTTCTATTATTACAACACTCACCTATAGGATGAGAAAGAAGGAAGAGTACTGGGCTTAGAAACCTCATTCTGAATTTAAACCTCATTTCTGCCACTTACTATATTCAAATAAGTCACTTTAATCTCTCCCAGTTTCAAATTCTCCATGTGAACAACCACTTGGCCAAGACGTTAAACACAGGATGAAGTACTAGAGGGTGTTTTGATTAATTACTCTCTAAGATTCCTTAAAATCCTAAAATTCTATGTGCTTCTGATTCTGTCTATAGGAAAATGGAGCACACTTAACTGGCAAAAGTGGAAAAAATAACAGAAGAAAAGAAACACCAAAAACAGCAGAGAAGAAAGTGAAAAATCAAGAAAAGATTATGGAAAAGTCATGGAAGAAGTAAAAAAGACTCTGGGAAAAAAGAAAAAACTTCACAGAGCTAGACAACAGTACTAGCCTCAAAGGAAAACTAGATTGGGAAAGCAGTAAGTAGATAAATCAATTAGAAATATTCTCTAAATAGATGTTGAATTTAATTAACATTACATAGTATAACATGTTCTATACCATGAAGAATATACTAGATATTCTTCACTTACAGAAAAATAATTCATCTCAAGAAGAGTAGATACCATTATACCTAAGAAGACTTGCCTGATTAGGTCTTATTTATGTAAAACCTATGATTCTGCCGCCATAACTTACCTATGATGGTAAAAAACAAGGTACTAGTTACTACGGCAAGTGTCAAATATATTAGGACAAACACTTGGACTAACTGGGCTTCTTAGCAAAAGTCTAAATCAGGGTTAACATATGATTACGTCTGACTTTCTGAGTTGATCTGACTGGGATCTGTATCTTGATCCCGGTGCTGCACAGGTACCTATCAATCTATGCTGAGGGACAAGAGAATGGATTTGGGAGCCAGGCAGGCTAATGGGTCAGCCCCTTGTTAACTATGGAATCATGAGTCAATTAATCAACCTCCCTGAACCACAGTTGCCTAATTAATAAAAATTAGGCTATAACAGCACAGCTACACTACAAAGCTATTGTGATGATTCTATGAGATAACAAATGTCAAACACATAATATAGTGTTTATCCCATAATAGAACACTCAATAAATGCTAGTTTCTTTTCTCTCCATTCCCCTAGTTAACATACAATTTTTAAAAATCCATAAAATCCTACCTGCTTAAAGAGTATTCTTCAGAACTCTCATCCACTATTCAAAAAAAAAGTAAAATACATTTTAAATCAACAATAGAAAAACACAATATTAAAAGTATAAGACTGATGCTTTGTTAGAAAGCATTCCTTTGGGATTGCACCTGGAGAACATACTAGAGTGAATATTAACTATACCACTGATAGGCAATCAATGCATTAAGAACTCTTACTTCCCCTCCTTTAAATATATCAAATGCAAGAAGACGAATGGGATTTATCAAAATTTGATGCTATTTACAATGACCATAATCCTAATGAAACCCTATCAGACTGACAGAAAATGGTATTAGAGAATCATTATCATAAAATGACAATGTCAAACTTAAATAGCATGATTTTCCTGGACTTCCAGTACTAGCAGTTAGAAGAGAGAAAACTTATTTTGCTGTGACACAACACAACTTCTCCAGCTCTTTAGTTGAGACTGTTCAGCTTAGGATGCAACACCCTATCACGAGGAAGCTTGGTCCATAGGCACTGTACTTTGCAGCATGGTAAAACACAGGAAGCAGACTCTCTCCGCTCTTATTTCCAGTTGCAAGATAAGTATGAAGACTTTGTGATTCCAGTTTTATAAAGTATAATCTCTTGAGATTGTCTCCTTCCATTGCTAGAGAGTCTATCTGGACACACCTCATAGAGCAGGACGGTCCAAACAGTTAGTGCTGGGTAGTGGTGTGTTATGTGCCTTTTCTCAACCCTGCCCATTATGTGGCAAATGTCTATAGAAATCATGTTTTTTCAGCTTGAAAGGCATATGTCATCAGATCCTATGCTGATGAGCAACAACAAAAAACCCCACAAAGGACAAGAAACATCTTGAATGACTCCCTTCAATTATTTTGGAATTTTAATTTTTTAAACATTCAAAAAGATACCCACTGTACGATTCCAACTATACAACATTCAGGAAAAAGCAAAACTAGCAAGACAGTAAAAAGATCAGTGGTTGTCAGGGGTAGGGAGAAAGGAGGGATGAACAGGCAGAGCACAGAGGATTTTTAGGGTAGTGACACTATTCTGTATGATACTACAACAGTCGATACATGTCATTATATATTTGTCAAAACCCACAGAATGTACATCAAGAGTGAACCCTAATGTAAACTATGGACTTTGGGTGATAATGATGAGTCAGTGTAGGTTCATCGATTGTAATAAATGTACCACTGTGGTGCAGGATGTTGACAACGGGGGAGGCTGTGTGTGCATGGGAACATAGGGTATCTGGGAACTCTCTGTACTTTCTGCTCAATTTTGTGGTGAACTTACAACTGCTCTAAAAATAAGGCTTATTAATTTTTTTTTAAAAAGGTATCCACTGAACCTGCTATTATCATATATTAATATATTAATGCTATTTTCAAGACACAGTCACCTTGAAAATTAAGATAAAGATCAAAGTAACATAAAATGGGTATTATTCCCCCAATTGAAGTATATGAAATACTTAAAGCAAATAATTTTAATTGCATACTTAGGCAAGAAAATAATTGATAAATATGATTGAATATGTCATTTTATAGTTATCAACAGGGGTTTAACACAATATGAATCAAAACTGGATCATCCATATAATTAAGACAATTTTTATTCTAATTTTAAATCAGAAATTATTATGCTTATTTTATCTAAGAATTATACTAAACGATTAATCAGATAAAAAAGACAGATTATAATTACCTACTATTGCTACAGTAATTTATGTACAAATACCTGTTAAATATTCACCAAGAGTCAAAAAAGTAACCAGCACTGCAATTTAACATGGATGATGCTACTGAAACCCGCACCCTGTTATATCATCATATTACTTGGTATTAAAATAAAGTTTTAAGACAACACCAAAAATTAAGTCAGGACTATAACTGCTGTGCAGAAAAGATTTCATTAGCAAGCCTGAGACTGCTATCCTTAGAAAGTCCAGTTTGACGGGCTGGCCCTTGGTTGGTGTCTGGGAACTTGGATTTGGGGAGGGCTCCCCACCATTCCCTAACTGGTAAAAGTAGCTCACTGTGCCTAAATTGTTCGTACAAACATTGCTATTTATGCTAAACATCTGCTGTCCTTCCAGGAATCTGAAATTCTGGTACATGCCAGGGAAAGGATGCCTGTGTGACGAGTGTGCAATAAAAACCTCGGGCACTGAGTCTCTAATGCGACTCTGGTACTGGTAGACAACAGTTCCCATGTGTTGTCATAATCTGATGCTGGAGGAATTCAGCACATCCTAGTGACTCCACAGGGAGAGGACTCTTGGAAGCTTGAGCCTGGTTTTCCTACAGACTCTGCTCCATACATCTTTTCCCTCCATTGATTTTGTTTTGTATTCTTTCACTGTAATAAATCACAGGCATGAGTACAACTACATGCTGAGTCCTGTGAGTTTTTCTAGTGAATAACCAAATCTGGGTGTGGTTTTGGGAACCTCTGACACAACTGCATTATATGAAATTTTTATTGTTTGGGTTAATGTGTTATACAGAATTACAGTCAGAAGGTTATTTCACAGAATACCTTTCCTCGAATCTGTTTGTCTTGATATTTGCCTTGGAGATTCCTGTATTCCTATATCCACTTGAATAAAGGCATAAAAGGGATAAATGAAACGATGTCAGAAAATAATGTGAAACAAGCAACAACATTTTAATCAGAACAAAAAACAGAGAATCCTGATGATTAACAATATGTTTTATAGTATGAAAGTTCCTATAAAGAAAATGAAAAGATCACATAGTCAATTTTCCCTAACTAAGCAGGGTTTAATTCCTTTTTATAATAGTTATGAATCAAGCAGATAACTGAGATAATTATAGAAAAACATATACCTATCATATATAGTATAATAATATACTACTGACAGTAGAGTTCTTTTTGTTTCTAATTTTTTTCTTAATTTCTTATAAAACTAAAAACATGGCTCACCTATTCAAGGCAGTTGTTGACAGTACAAGTCAAAAAGTCAAAAAAAACTGCATCCAAAATGTAGGATGAGTTATCCACTCCACCACGAAAATAGTGTATCTGATCATTAAGGATCAATAGGACTTTTAACTAATTTGGGGGAAAAAAAGTAAATTACCTTATACATAGTTAAAAAGTTTGGCAATCTAACTGACCACATATTGTAATTTAGCCACAGATTATCAGTTTCTTAAAAAATACATAATACCATAAAAGCACTTCAGCCAGCCCTGGTTAAGCCCAAGGTTAAAGATTTGGTGCTCTCACTGCCTCTGCCCCAATTCGTTTCCGAGTCAGGGAACCACATCACCTGTCAGTCAGGTGACATACTGTGGCAGCTGTGGGCTGCTGGGATGCTGAAAGCTCTGCCACCAGTATTTCCAATACCAGCAGGGTCACCCATGGTGGACAGGTTTCGGTGGAGCTTCCAGACTAAGACAGACTAAGAAGAAGCACCTGGCCACCCACTTCTGAAAACACTGGCCATGAAAACCCTATGAATAGCAGTGGAGCACTGTCTGCTAGAGCATTGGAAGGTGAAGTCGCAACACAAAAAGACTAGGCAGGGTTCTGCTCTGCTATACACGGGGTCACTAGGAATTGAGGGCACTAACAACAACAAAAAGCACTTCACATTAAAACTATGCCAGACAAAACTTAATTTGTATTTGACAGTCCAGAAGAAATTTTTAAATCTTGGCAGACCATCCCAGTAACACTGTCACTGTGGTACAGATATAAAGAAGTTTAGCATAAGAAAGTAATAGAATATGAGATAAACTTTAGGTTAGGTAGCCAATTACCTTAAAAGGAAACATACACATTTGTCAAACATACATATGTTAGCAATGTATTCTAACAGTAGTCAATTCCAAGACAATTTTCCTTAGAGATGAAATTCAGAAGGCAGCAGTAAAAGCAGAGATATTAGAAGAAGGCAAATGAAAAGAGAAGCAAGAGAGGCAGCACTAACAAAAATAGTCAGGTACTGCCTTTTTTCTAACATCATCAGAATTTTCAAACTATTGAGGACTAGTATATTCAGCATATCATCTTATACTGTCTCCTTGGTATTATATTAGTTTTCTGCAACAAAATATTTAAAAGATGTCAGTTTTTCCAAACTGCTGATCTGTAAACTATTTCTGATCAAAATTTAAAACTCTGTCAAAACATGGCTGTGTCATGATTCCATATCGGAGCTAGGGTCTGACAATGGCTTCCAGTTGTTGCTGCCAGATTTTTGTTTTGGTATTCATCCAGGGAGCTTACCAAGGACTTAAGAAAAACTCAAGTATTTCCACGAGAAGCAGGTAAGAAAGACAACACTTTTCCTCACACTTTACTCCTAGGTTTTGACAATTCTGGAAAAATGCGGGCAAGTGTACTCACCAGTCTAAACCAATTTTTCCTGACCTTGTGTGGGTAGGTGGTACAGTTACAAAAAAAATAGGTAGGACCTTGGTAGATGTGATTATTTTTCCATATTTGGACATCAGAAGTACCAATCATGTAAATAGCAGACCTCACAACTCTAAAATTGTTCTTTTGAAAAAGTTATCACCAAAGAGCTTTTAAAAGTTAAATCCAACTTTCTTCTCAGTAATTTTACTTGGTACAATTGCTACTCCCTTTTGAAATTCTCCTTTTTTGCAATATTACTTCCTCTAGTGCCTCTCCTACTTTTCTCCAGCCACTCAGTCTTCTTTACTAACTCCTTCTCCTCTCTCCACTCCTTAAATATTGGTATTCCCAGGGTTTTGTCTCTGGCCTTCTTCTCATTCTACATGTTCTCCATCATGGACTAGCTCGTTCAGATCTATGACTTTGCCCAAAAATTATAATCCGATTATTTCAAATTTGCATCTCCAATCTCAGAGCTCTATCTCTAGCTAAAAACTCCTATTATCCAATTATCCAATTACTGAAAATACCCTACATGGATATTCCATCAAACTCAACATGTACTAAAAAAAAAGCTGGTCTTCTCTGTTTACCTGCTGTTGTTCTCTGTTCAACTGACAAAGTACTACTCACTCTTCACGTCCAATGTAAATGCTGGTGCACAACCTGGAAACCTATGAATCATCTTGTATTTCTCCTTCTCCCCTAACTTTCTACATTCAATAATCAGTAAATCATGTGAACCATACCTCTTTCCTGTGTCTGCTTTTTATTTCCACTGCCACTACCCTAGTCAAACATGGGCTCTGAACTGATGGCTTTCACAGGAAAAACAAACAAAAACCCAAGTATTACTATTACTTCTTAAATGAATAAAAAATTTTAAGCAAAACAAATGAGAAAGACAAAAGGTCTAGAAAAAGACCAATATTTTAAACTGAATAAATTGAGCCTCTTGACATTTATTTCACCATGGCTGGGTGAAACCTTCATAATGGATTGATACTAGTCCAAGGAAGCAAAAGCTTCCTGTGTCTCCCAGTCTCTTGCATGGCTTCCTTCCATCCATTCTCTATATAAGGGGTCAGCAAATGACGGCCCACAGACCAAATCCAACCTGCCACTTGGTTTTGTAAATCAAGTGTCATTGGGGCACAGTCACGCCTATGCATTTACATATTGTCTATGACTGCTTTCATACTACACTGGCCGAGTTGACTAGATATGACAGAGACCACATGGCCTAAGATATTTCCTATCTGGCCCTTTCCATAAAAAGCATGCTGATCCCTGCTTCATCCCATAACCAGAGTGCCCTAATCCTCAAATCTAATCTTGTTACTCTTCTGCTCAAAATTCTCCAATGAATCCCTGCAGCAAACGTGGCTGGTTCTCTACCCAATAGCCATTCCTTATTCTTCATTCTTGCTGGAGAATCACAACTTTTATTTGGGTATTTATTGTCCCAATACACAAAGAAGGTGGCCTGTCTCTCCCCAGCTCTAAAAAGAGAGATGATTATTCTAAGCTAACCACAGTAATCACATTTCCTTTACCAGTGGCTGGTTTAGAATGAGGATGTGATGTAGCCTAGTCAGTAAAATGTTAGGGAAGTCTCCTGCAAGCTTCTGAGTTTTCTTCCTATTTAAAAGAATCATGTAGAGCCAGCCCTGATGGCCTAGTGGTTAAAGTTCGGCAAGCTCCACTTCAGCAGCCCAGGTTCGGTTCCTGGGCATGGAACCACACCAGTTGTCTGTCAGTAGCCATGCTGTGGTAGCAGCTCACATAGAAGAACTAAAGAGACTTACAACTAGAATATACAACTGTGTACTAGGGCTTTGGGGAGGAAAAAAAAAGGGAGGAAGATTGGCAACAGATGTTAGCCCAGAGCAAATCTTTCCCAGAAAAAAAAAAAGAATCATGTAAAGAAAAGCAGACCCTCCAGCCTTTAGATATTGTCATATGGAAATATGAGGCATGGAGCTGTTGCTAATTAGCAGACCAGGAAAGGAGACATAAACAAAACACTGCCAACCTGACAGCTGAAAGAAGGACGGCACCTGGGATCCTCATGACGTCGCTGAACCACCAAAACAATCCTGGTTCCTTTATGTTAGCCACCTTTATTTAGGTCACCTATTATTTTCAGCTAAAAGCATTCTAACTGATAATTTCCCAAGGTCTACAGGATAAGATCTGCTCCTTTCTCCAATACCAAAAAGGCTTTCATAAGCTTGCACCTCCTTCCCCACCATTCCCACAGCACATTTTCTGCACCAGCAAAATTGAACTACTCATTAATCCTGTGGAGCTCACTTGTACATCTTAGCCTTTGCATTGCTGTTCTTTCTGCCAACCATGTAATCTGGATAGGTGTTCCTCCTGCCAAACATCACCCTTCTGCCTCTTTATCTGGCAATTAAATCCTACCCACTTTTTTAAAACTCGAATTCCTCAGCATGGACTTAAAGTGTCTGGCACATATTAATCACCAACAAAAAAATAATAAATAATGAAAATTATAAGCTCCTCACGGGCTCTGGCACATAGTAAAAGTGACAATGACAAGCTCCTAGAGGGGAATTTAGAAAGAAATTAACCAGGGACAACTCTATTCTATGATAAGCACCTTCAAGACCAAACTCTATTGTGTCTATCTTTGTGTCTCCTGTAACTTGCAAAACTAACCTTCGGAAGTTCTTTGCTAAAGGCCTACTGAGTTCAAGGTTTGCTAAAGGCCTACTGAGTTCAAGGTGTCCTCATACAGTTCAGAGTGTACCGTGCACTAGGTGCCACATCTAGGCAGCACAGTAGCGTGTTCGTTACTGTGAAACATTTTTGTACTTTTATTATAATTTGTTGAGTCCAGAGTTGGGCTATTTGAATATTTATTATCCTAATCTTTTGACTAATGGCAACAGAGCATCTTGTTCTTACAAAACTACACTGTCATGACAATTATCCAACGAACGGAAGAAAACATCTTGTTCTAATAAAGTCAACACATCTCATTCTGTTTTGACTTATAGGAGTGAAGTTGATAATAGAGAGACCTCGTTGTTATAACACTGTGTAAAATAACCTCTGCTTCTCAACAAAGCATAGCTTTTCTGACTTCTGTACTATGAGTAGGTATCTTTAAAAAAAAATCTCTTAGCAGCATTGCCTCACACTGGCTAAATTTTGCAGTTCTTATTGTTTGCCATTTATTTATAGTACCAAGAAGGTGTGGTTGAATTCTCCATTTTGAAGATGGCTACTGTTTTAGTGAGATAAATCACCATGTAATAACTAACAATCATTTACTAAATGTAATCCATTTGTTGTAAAAATTAAATAAAAGATCCATTTTTATAACAAGTCCAATTTGTTATAATGTGATAATTGAGAAAACACACAATATACTAACCTAAAAATTTTTTCTTATTTCCACAAAGATATCATATAAGACTTTAGGGGCAATGATTAAATAAATGAATTTCTTTTCAGACAATACTGTCTCAGATTTTAAATACCTACAATTAACTTCTTAAATAATTCTGAATACTAGACTATCAGGAAAGAAATTAAGAAAAAATATACATGTAACTTACACATTGGATTTTTCTCATTGCTCTTTCATTATCAAAACTTCCTTCCTCTTCCTTTCTTTATCTATGGTAGAACCACCCAGAGTAATTCACTATCAGAAGTCTTACCTGGATTGCTATTTTGAGAAGAAGTTTTAGGTCTCTTTTCTTCTTTATATTCAGAAATTAGTTGGCAATTGCTATGTGTAAAAAAAAATGTGATAAATAATATTACTATTTTAATACTGATATGAAAAACGTTCACCAAATATATTAAATTCTTAGAGTATTTCAGATAATATCAGAGCTAATATCAAAACTTTATCCCATATACTTCAAATCTATAAGTTCTACAAACTTTTTATTTAGCAAGTAATTAAATAGGAAAGAGAAGTAAGGTGAAGCAGTCCTGAATTGAGGGCAGTATAACTCTGTAAAGTAACTAGAGTTCGTGTGCCATAATAGAAACTGTCTTGAACTCAGAAGTTCTAGCTCCATAACCAATAGCTATTTGTTCCTGACAAGTCACTTTTCTTTGGCTCAAAGTTTTCCTCTATAAAACAAGGATCTTGTTGCCTTATTTCACAAGGTTGTTTGGAGGATTTAAGGAGATAATATACCTCTCCCCAAAAAATGCTCATAGCAATAATGAAGCAATGGAATAATCTGTCCTTAAACTTTATTGTTGGAACTATGTTCGAATTCCAAATAAAACACAGTGTGTCTTTTCTCAAAGTTTCTAACGTTCATGTTGGAATTCCAAATAAAACACAGTGCGTCTTTTTCTAAAGTTTCTAACGTTCAAATGTTGCAGTTTTCAGAAGATGTTATTAATTTTGGTTATTAGCTGTTCTTTCTTTGTGGTTTGTAATTCAGGGCATTTCAGCTATTACATAACTTCTAACTCAATTTATTTATAAATATATGACCTCATGAAATTAGATAACATAATTGTCCCCTATTATTGTAGCTAATCATACCAAAGGCGGAAAACTCATAGAATTCAAGACCCGGCTTGGACTACAACTATTCCTTCTTTCTCTACTCAAACTCTGAACCAGCAGATCTTTATCAGAATGACGCTTAATCTCCATATTCATCTCCAACTGACTTGGAAGACATAACCTTACTTTTATACATGGATACTGATGAGTCACAGATGGGGCTTAGCTCTCCTAATGCCAACTAACCTACTTTAGATTCTGAGATTTCTGTTCAACAGCTTCCTTGCAAGGCAGAATCTTAAAATATTTTGAAATTTGAGGTAGATAAAAGGCACTTTGGAGATTTTCATTATTTCGGAAGACAAATCACTTGAAGGGCCAACCTTAATTACGGAATCTCAGGCAAGGTGGCACCCACTACTCTAGGAAGGATGACATGGGACCTTCCATGACCTAAGAAAAGGTGCTCCTCAGGATATAAAGCAGACTTGGGGTTCAGATCTGGTAACAAAGGAGAAAGGAAAGTCTGATCTTTTCCTGCAGCATTATTTGAATTTCTCTGACAGCTTAGAATGGTCCCAACTAACATCTGCTAGCAGAAAAGTCAAATAAGAGCCTCCAAGGGTAATTCATCTTGAGGGTCTGACCTAACATGTGGGCTGCACATAGGGTTTTAGAGTGTGGGTGGAACGGTGTGTGAGGCTAAAGCCAGAAGGCCCAGCTGCCAGAACAGAGTGTAGGGGTTTGGAACAATGGCTGAGCATATAAGCATATGTATGTTAACCAAAAAAAGTTGTAACTTGAAAGTCTAAGTGTGGACCACCGTGAAGACTGAGGAATCTGGATCAGCAAGAGCATCCTGGGAGCAAAGGTCAATCATGACCAGACTGCAGGACCAGTTTCAATAGCAATGCTGCAGCAATAGAATCAATGGAAACAACAGAATGATTAGAATGTCCTTTTTTCCCTCCATCTGACTTATGCAAGAGGATTGTCTCCCTTGGACTTAGGGAACCCCTTAGGTTCTCAGAAAATTCAAGGAGGAGAGTATAGGAGATAGTTCCCAGAAAAAGTACAGGATTTTCTGCTAAAGTGAACATTTCAAGACCCAAATAACAAATTAGAAAAATCATAGATGTGACATGATTGTACCCCATGCATAGGGGTTATACCTGGAATGAAACGAGTTAACATTAGGATCCCTAAGGATAAAGGTCTTAAAAGTCCTGAGATAAAGAATCCTGCACCCATTGCTACTTCTAACTAGTGTAGCCTTTTGCTTGGTTTCTGGCTGATGATGTGGACTAACTCACTGCCATTCCAAAATTGCCTGAACCAAACTATGAAATATCACCTGACACATAAGAAGTAATAGTTTAATTATTTTAACCTCAGTTTAGTGATAACTAGCATTTGAATGTAAACACTTACATAGTAAAACCACTAACAACAGCATATGCTTCTGCAGTCCATCCATAGATATCTTGAGAAAAGACATCAATACCTTGCTGAAGAAGAAGCCTGACTATATTTGTTGATTCATAATTTACAGCAAGCATGAGGGCTGTTCTAAAATAACAGAGAGAGAACTTCACCCTTAGGAACTTTAAGTTATTTAAGCAGCTAATTTGATAGACTTTATCAAGTTAATATCTTGCCTGTCTGTGTAGAATTGACCATTTACATGCTCAAGTATTCATCTTCATAAATTACCTCCAAAGCTAAAATGAAGGGACAAAAAGGAAGCCTCTTGTTCCACTTGGCTATTCCATAGTAGAAGCTGCTAATTTAAAGTCCTTTGATGGACAAGAAACTATGCAGAGGTCATTTATCAGAAGTAAGTGAAGATTTAAATGAAGAATTCCTCATATCTTCCTTAGTCTGATATACATATTATACTTCAAAGTCAGCTAGCGGTCAGGTAAGTAAAAGCTATTTACAGGCTTAAAGAAATAATACTAAAAGTAATGGTAATAATAATAGTCATGGTTGCAGCAAATGATGCTGATAAGCATGTGCTAGGCACTAAATTACATGTTGTATATACAATCTCACACACAACCACCCTTGAAGGATATATTATTATCCTCCTTTTCATATAAGGAAAGATATTTGGTGATGATGAGTTACGTTCCCAAGGTCCCTACTTACATCTAGCAAGTAGGAAAGCTAGGAATTAAACCCAGTCTTGTGTGAATCCAAAGCCTATCTTGTTTCTCTTTATCACCCACCTATGACTTGTCTTCATTAAAGACAAAGTTTATTCAATTAAAGCTATCTTTCTTCCTCCTACTCATACCAATGAAAAATAAAAACATCAAAATATACTAGAAATGAAAAAGGATAAAAATTGATGAGCCCATAGTATTTGGTAATAGTAATTAATAGTCATTTACGAATAACCTAATAACATCAGTAGTCTTCAAAGAAAGCAATTTAAAGGAAAGAGTCATCCAAAAGACAAAATCAACTCCTATTTATGTTTAATATGCATCTTAAGGAAAAATATTTATGAAGGAGAGGTTAAAAAAATACATAAAAGGTTTCAGAACTTCAATACTGTGTCATAAAGTACACTAAAAGTTAGAATCTATACTTTATAAAACTAATATGAAACCCCTTTAGCTAATATAAAATCATATGACCAAAAAATCAGATTCTAAATGACATCAGTCAGTACTATGAAGGAATATGAATCCTGCTATATACTGTTCTTCATGTTGCCCAGTCAGAACGATTGCTTTTCCATATATTAGATGATGTGTTGATATTTTTCACTATATAATTGTAAGTTAATCCTCTTTTTATTAATTTAATCTTTCTGACTTGGGTGATTATTACCACTTTAGAACGATACTAAGCTTAAGAAAAAAAAAAAGAACCAACTACTGTACCTTTTCATCTTATCGACTGCATGTATATTTGCTTCTTTCTTTACTAAAAATTCCACCATTTGCTGTTTGTTTTCACTCACAGCAAGTAAAAGTGGTGTGAGGTCATCCTGTAAAACAGCAAAAACAATTTATAATTTACAAAATGACATATTTAAAAAATGATAGACTGAATTTAAAAACTGATAAAAGATCCTCTGAACTTAAACATCTAATGTAGAAAGTAAATACAAAGCAGCCCCTTCCTCCTCGGCCCGCTGTGCTGTCACCTGCTGCTCCTTCTCTTTAAAACGCCCCTATTCTCACACTCTATCTCCAAACTCTAAACCATAGCAGTAAATGCTTTAAGTATTTTTATTGAATTAGTAACCTAAATGCTTATCTCTGGAATAGGGTTTCTTAAATTATCTTCCACAGAATATGTTCTTTACCAGAAGTTAAGTACTGTGCCCCAACAGAAAGATTCCATGATTGTCTATGTTGGAGAAATATTACAAAACTGTGCATTATATGTCTAGTACTAAAGAAATCTGTTTAAATTTGCTTAATCCCTGTTTGACAATACTTTTTTGTGGCAACATTAACATTTGAGAAATTAGAGTTTCAGGGATAAGTTTTGAGAGCTTTCCAATAAGGTGAAGGTTTTCTCCAGGTGTGCAAATGTGCTCGACTCTCTTCTGTCAACACTGTCAGGAGCCCAGATGCCAACAGCAGCCCCTCCCGCTCCCCAAGGGCCACTGAGGACATGGGCTCTGAAGGAAGAGAGGCTTCAGATGAACTGTGACTGCTTACACTACATGGTCCACGGGCTTTCTCCTATTATGACATGATAGATTTTTACTTAACTGTTAGAAAGCTCAACATGAAATTTTATTTTCAATTATAATGATAATCCTGGGGCCCTAACATACATCTGCTTTTTTAATCTGTTTTTATTCTGGTTTCCATTTTAATTGCTAATCAAAATTATTTTAAATTTTCAGCAAAATATAAATCAGAAATTAAAAATATAATGGCTTATCAACAAAAACTCTAATAACTGATCTATATGGATTATTTTTAGCATAATAAAAGCTACTAAATCACTTGCATTTTTAAGGAACAAGGCTGAGAAGAAAAATCATATTGTCTGCAATGTGCATAACCTATCCGACTACAGCCATGATTAACCTCATAAGGCTCACAGACATTCCAATGGGAATACAATTATTTACAGTACATATGAAGAATAAGTTTTTTATTTTATTTTATTTTTTTTGGTGAGGAAGATTCGCTCTGAGCTAACATCTGTTGCCAATCTTGCTCTTTTTGCTTGAGGAAGATTGTCGCTGAGCTAACACCTGCCAATCTTCCTCTATTTTTTGAATGTGGGATGCCGCCACAGCATGGCTTGCTGAGTGGTTTGTAGGTCCGCGCCTGGGATCTGAACCTGCGAACCCTGGGCTGCCAAAGCAGAGTGCACGAACTTAACCACTACACCACGGGGCTGGCCCCAAGAAAAAGTTTTTTAAAAAAACAACATAAATTCTAACTTGGAAAATTCAATCTCATTCTTAAGAGATTAGATATGAAAAAAATTATAAATTAATACAGACTGTCTTGAAAATGTTGAGGTCTTTATTAAAATATATTATAAAACAGGACTTGGAAACTCAAATGGTTACAGAGGCAGAGTCGGCGACCCGAGTCAGTGAAGAGCCCAGGTGGGGACAGCAGCAAACTGGAAAACAGGGGCCTCGTATAAGAGGGGCAGCCTCTGCACAGCCTCCCAGACAGCAGTATGGGCTCCGGGGCACCAGATGCGGTTCTTGAGGAGAAGCTTGAAATCCAGATTTCTGCATGGGTCTCCTCAATTTCAAATGTTGACTCAATTTATGGAGGCAAACTAAACGTATCCAGGGGCCATACTTAGTCTGTAGCCCACTCGTGTTTTTATATTTGCCGTGTTTCCAAATGGTTGTGTAGAAAGCAAATATTTGTATGTAAAAATCTTTCCTTTCTCTAGCATCATTTGTTTTACAAAAAAATTGGGCCCCAACATGTAATAAAAATTGCTATTAAGACTCATAATACCCACTTCAAGAATTTTTCCAATATTTATTACAACTACAATCTATTTGTATTTAATTCTCCCAGATTGTTAATCAAATGGATAATTAGTTATAGGACTGCTGAAACTAAATTATGAAAACAATTCCCATCTGTACTGTTATAACTTCATAGTTTTTGATGTTTAAACCTGCCATCCAGATTACAGCAGGGCTCCATGAATGTAACAGACATGCCGAGACAGCCTATCACACAGCTTCAGGAAAAGAAGGCTCAGGATTCACCATTTCGGCAATCACAAAAACCCTGCTTGTAATAAACATTTGTTGACCTCATGACCTGAACAACTATAAAGATGTAAAATCCTTAAAGAATCGGACTCTACTTATTAAGACGACCCATAAACAAATTTCTAGACTCTGAGTGCCAGTGAATGACTGATGGATGGAAGGAAAAAGATGTTAGCCTTTAAGCCAATAGATGTTGCCAATAATACTCCTTTTAACTTCTCAAACACAGAGGTAGAGACAATGAAAGTCAGGCTAATATTGTTGGAAAGGAGAGAACCAAAGGAAGCAGCACCCATCAAATTCCAACTCTTCTAGAGATTTCTTAGGTTTCCGAGATCTGTGAATTTATATATTACACTTATCCATTCAGTAGTTCTTAACCAAGAGTTGTATCAGAATCTCATGGAAATATTTCTAAATATACATGTCCAGGCCTTGTTAGATTTACTCAATCAGAAAATCAGGGGAGAGCCTAGCCTGTCAATGTTTTTAAACTTCCCAGGTGATTGTGATTCATCAGCGCAATTCTAGCTGAGAATTTGTGCAGCAGACAATCCCCAGTCTCATCTCTCACCTATGTGGCCAATTCCCTCCATCGTTTAAGGATTTGGCGAAAAAAAAGAAAGGCGTTAGGAGATAAGAATCACTTACCAAAATGGCATTTAATCTTCCTGGGTAGGGCCAGAACAGGGACTAGTAAACTCAAAATGCAACTTGATTTCCTTATTTATAAACTCCTTACTTCCCAGCAAGATATTCTAGATTTGAGAGCAGAGTTTAGACTCTTGTCTAAGTGGCTGTTTCTACCCGAATCAGATAATATGTCAGTTAATTATCTGTTCTTCCCTCTTGTTTCCCACTTCCCCGCCCCCTGTTCACGGCCAATCTGATTTCCTCCGAGTCCTCCTAAAACTGATCTGTAGGCAGGGTTACAACTCATGCACTCTTTCCCAAACTAAGAATTATTATCCCCGAAAACTGAAGAGTACCTTGCCTAAACACATAAACTAAAGAAAACAAAAACAAAAAACCTCTTCGCGTTATTTCCCCTCATTTGCCAAATTTCCAAATTGGCCTGCACATTTCTGATTGCTCTCTCCTTTTCCCTTTTTTCCTCTCAAGCCTTGGGCAATGAGAGATGAATCACTTCTATAGAAATCCCTTTTTTATGACAGAGGAACTTGTCAACAGCAGCAAGATTTCTATTATATTGAAAAATGCATTTGTTTTGTTTGAGTTTAAAGATAAAGCCTATTTCCAAGGCAAATTTTGCTTCGTTGGGTGGGGAAAAATATTTGGGGGAAAAAAAAAGTTTTACCTTTAACAAACTCAGTGTTTTCAGAAATATTTGTCATAAATGCATAAAGGAAAGCTGTACCCTCTAATGCTTCTTTAAAAGTATTATTATTTAATGTGAAATCTTAGACAACTAAGTTATTTCAAACTATTTTCATTCAGGGAATGCTTGAGCTCCCAAATATGTAAAACTGACCCTACCTATGTCAACCAAGAGCTTTCCTGTCGGGGCCGCCGTGGTGGGAAGTAACGTTTGTCCAGAAGAAAAAGGAGGCAGACCAACTTTGCCATCACCTGCTCCCCATGAACAGCTATGACTCCACTAAGGAGCTACACGAGGTTGAGTATGAGCTACTCTCTGACCTGGGAGACCCCAAGGTGGCACATGGCTGGCAGAGTGGCTACCAGTACAAGTCGATGCTCTTGCTGGATGTCAAGACATGACCTGACCCCCTGGCCCTGATCTCCAGAACCTTGGGGTCCTGGAGTGCCCAAGGCCTGTGGGATGCTGCTTCCAGTACCCACTTGCACTAGCCCAGCTCCCCCTGCTGGCCACTGGGTCTCCATTCCTTCTCCCATCCACCCCCAGCAGCACCCATTTCCTAAGCCCCTGCACAGCAGCCAACCCTCATCATCACCTCCCTCCCCGCTAGGCCTTCGGTCCTTTGTGGGCTCTGAGCCTACCACCCACTCCCAGGCACTAACAGAAAGTTGTTCCTTCTGGGGTGGAAGGGTGTCTGGGAGACAGAGCTTTGCCCTTTCCATGGGCACCACCTTTCTCTGGCCCTCCCTGACTTGGCTTTGGAGTTGTTTCCATGGTGACAAGGCATGATGCATAGTACTCACTATATACATTGTAGGTAAAATGTTTCGTGGCTAAAAAAGAAAAAAACATATTTCAAATATTTTGTAAATAAAGTTGGTTGATCTGTACCTTGTTTCTTGCTTCGATATTTGCATTGTGTGAAAGCAGCTTTGCTGCTATTGACAGATTCTCACCACGAGCAGCATAGTGGAGAGCAGTATTGCCACTGATGTCCGTAAGATTTGGATCAGCACCATGTTCTAGCAGAATAGTTGCACATTCCTCTTGCTGGCATTGTACGGCCTGTCAGTATTATGCCAAGAAATAAACTGTAAATTCTAGGAATTCAAAGTAAACATTCCACAGGTTTTACCAATTAGTTATATTTAAATGAGATAAATTCATTTTTATTTGAAGTAATTAAATCAAATCCATCTCATGCTGGCATACTTGGCTACTACATACCTTTATCAGAGCTGTTCTGTTTTCACTGTCACAAAGGTTAAGCTGGCATTTTCTCTCTACAAGGAGAGTTACCACTTCTGGATAGCCATTGGCACAGGCCAAATGCAGAGCAGTCCTATGAAAGTGAGAGGACTTTATATGAAATTACAGTGCACTACCTCAAAACATACAAGTATTCACATAATTGTAAACATTAAATAGCGTGTTATTACAATCCCTTCAAAACAAATATTTAGTTTTCTTCTGGAGACAGTACAATACAGTCAGCCCTCTGTATCCATGAGTTCTGCATCCATGGATTCAACCAACTATGGATCGAAAGGCCCGTGATAGTTGTGTCTGTACGGAACATGTACTAACTTTTTTTCCTTGTCATTATTCCCTAAACAATAACTATAACTACTACTTACATAGCATTTACTTTGTAATCTAGAGATGGTTTAAACTATATGGGAGGATGTACATAGGCTATATGCAAATAACTACATCATTTTATATTAGGGACTTGAGCATCCATGGATTTTGGTATCCGCGGGGGTCCTGGAACCAATCCCCCATGGATACCAAGAGATAACTGTATTTATCAGCTCTTATTACTCACCATATTAATGTCAGAGCAGCCTATTTGAATAGAAAGAGCATGACCTTTGGATTCAGCTCAACTTGGGTTTGAATTCTACTTTAACTCTGTCACTTCTTAGCTATTGCTTAGCCTTTTTATGCCTCAATTTCCTCATCAATAAAATGGGGATAAAATTAGTAATCTCACAAGACATTGCTGTGATGCTTAAATGAGAATCTATGCAAAGGTTTAGAACAGTTCCTAGCACAATAACAGCTCAACAACTGTTAGATAATATTATCATAATTATTACTACTACTTTACAAAGACAACATTTCAATTAAGTAAAATGATACAGTCATACCTCCTTCGCAGATATGTTTTAAGGATTAGAGAGAACACTGTATTTCAATGATTCTAAGATGCTCATTTTCTCACATTTTAACATCTCTGACATTGGAATGCAACTTATAATTCATAATGTCTTACAACTATAATACACAGGATTTTTAAAAATTTCTTATGGGTACATAAAATAGCGGGGCATCATACGATCCATATTGTCTTACGTTAGTGAAATACGGTCGATACAACAGGTCTGCTGCAGTTCTAATCATATGGTTGGCATTTAAATAAATTTTAGTTCTGTGGCCAGCCCTGGTGGCCTAGCGGTTAAATTCAGCAGGTTCTGCTTCAGCGGGCTAGGTTAGGTTCCCAGGCGCAGACCTACACCACTTGTCAGTAGCCATGCTGTGGTGGCAGCTCACGTACAAAATAGAGGAAGATTGGCCACAGATGTTTGCTCAGGGTTAATCTTCTTAAAAGCATTATGGGGAAAGAAGACTAAAATAACAAAACAAAAAAAGAATTTTTAAAAAACTAATTCTTACTTTAATTTTCAAGAAACTTTTAAGTCAAGGTTAAGTTCAGGATTCAAATGAATTGGGATAGCTCTTTCTAGTCAACATTTAGATTTATAGATTATATGAAAAACAGATATTTCGAATGATTAATATTAATATTCAATACTATTGTAAATTTTCAAAAAGGCAAGTAAAGGTTATCTTTTACAATTTCCTACCTTCAGAAATGCTTTTGTTTGAAAGAAGGGAGGAAAAGTATCAATTAAGATTAGGTCCTAACCCTTCATTTTAAATTTCTCAATTTGCTCAGACTGGGCAACATGAAGTTTTTAAGGTTAAAAGGGTCCTGAAAGAGAGCAGAATATGTCCACTACATAACAGGTATTCAGGGTATGTATGATGAATAAATGAAAGAATGGATAAATACAGTTGTAGAACTCAATATTTTTAAAGAAAAGTATTTTTGCAATAGTAATCATTTATATTTGCTATTTTTGATTTTTGATTTTTATAGACACAACTACAATTTTAAACTTTTGCAATAGTAATAATCATCACTTATATTTACTATTTTTCATTTTCATAAGGACACAACTAAAATAAAATGATTATAGATTTATGTATTATATGTAATAAAGCTACATATAATAAAAAATTATACAATTAAAAATATACATAATAAAATCAACAAGCACAGATAAAAAGATTCCCTTTACTTCTGAAGAGGCTGTAAGTTGTAAGAAGATATCAATCCTCAAAAAAATTAAAAAATAATACAAAGTGAGAAATTATTTTTATCTGTGCAAGATTCATATTCTTGCTCTTCCTCAAGATTATTTCGTTGTTAATAAACTTTTACTAGAATTTTTATATATGTTCATTGTAGAAATCATAGATTTAAAAAAAAGGAAAAGAAAAATTCACTTATAACACAAATGCTCAGAAATAACAAATGTTATCACATTTTCTATGTATTTTTGGCTAACACAAGACCATACTCTGTTTGCATGTATGTATAATCAAACTGATTTTTTTTTCTCATTTAATTATTTACCAAAGTACACCTCTGCCTGTCAGCATATATCTGTATCTATGCCACTTTCAACGGTCACATATTCTTCCAGCCTAGGGATGCACTGCAATTTATTTATAAAATCCATTATACAACTTCTTCTTAATACATTGCTATTTTAAGCAGTGCTAAGAAAAACAAATTGTATATTATATATCTCTAATTATTTACTAAAGATATTTTAGCATAAATAGAATTGATAGGTAAAGGGAATATATATTTTTAAAATGTGGTACTTATTATCACATTGCCTATTGAAAAGTCAAAAGCAATTTAAACTTAAACTCATCCTCACAAGTTTGTGGATGGAAAACGATATTTCATTCTTCTTTTAACTTAAATTCCTTTTCTTTCCAGGGACACTAAATATATTTTCCTCGTGTCCACTGGTCACTTGTAGATATGCATAAAAGGACTTTACCCAACTTCAAATTAAAGGTTTTTTCCCCTTGATTTCAAAGAATTCTTTGCAATGAAGATATATTTTTCTTCTAATATAAATATGCTGTGAATATTTTTAAAGTTTTCTTTTTTGCTAAGGAAGATTTGCCCTGAGCTAACATCTGTTGCCCATCTTCCTCTTTTTGCTTGAGGAACATTGTCCCTGAGATAACATCCGTGCCAATTTTCCTCTATTTCGAATGTGGGTCGCCGCCAGAGCATGACAGAGGATTGGTGTAGCTCCACGCTGGGGATCTGAACCTGGGCCCCCAAAGTGGAGCACACCGAACCTAACTACTAGGCCATAGGATGGGCCTCTAAAATTTTTAATCTGTGCTCTGTCTGGAACTTATTTTTGTGAGATAAAAATCTCACTAGTTTTCTCCAAATACCTGGCAGGTATTTCTCCACCATCCATGAAAAATTCACCTTTTCCTACTAATATGAAATGTCACCAGTATCAAGTTCTAAAGTCTTACATATACGTATTCGGGTGTTTGGACATTTTCTATTCTGTTCCATTTATTTATCTTTCCAGCTGTTAGTAAACAACATGGCGGCACATTTGGATACCTAGAAGGGGAAATCTCATCTACCACACAAAAATTTTCTTAATTTCATCACAACAATAAAAGACAGTCTGTGTGTGTAACATAAAACTTTTAAAACCATGATATTTTTATTTGGTTTATGTAAAACTGATAAATATAGGAAGAGCGCAGATTTTGAGAAAATGAGTCCTCCTATTCAGGAACACAGCCGTCTGCCCACTTCAAAGTTTCCTTCTAAGGTCCCTCAGTACAGAATATATATACAGAGGTGTACACTGATACAAAATGGATATTGGATTTTATCAGAAGACTTTTTAGCCCAGAAGTTCATCTATTATGGGAATTATTTTTCTCATTACCCACTTTTCTATAACATATAACATTTTGGTATAAAAAGTGTCCGTTAAAAATAAAGTGTTGTATATACTTAATTTTCTATTATTATTGACAGTTAAATCACTTTAAAATTGTCAGTGAAGCGCTCTATAAGAGGAATTATGAGTGGGTCCGAAACCAGCTCAAGAGTGTGTTTCTGCTGCTCACGTAGCCGTGGGCGCTAGACCCCAGGCCAGGACCCAGGTGCTGCGGGGTCTCGGGAGGAAAGATCCGAGCGCCCTCGGTGACAGGAGGCTGGGCTCCCGCAGGCTGCGCCCGGGAAGGGCGCGCTTCTCCCAGGTCCGCCCGCCTCCTCCAGGCCGGCCCCGGCCACCGTCTCCCAGTCCCTATTACCTGTTCAACTTGTCTCTATCATTCAAGCCACTTTTCCCAAGCAACAGAATCTGCTGCACTTTCGCTACGTTGCCCACGCTGGCAGCTTTGTGGATCTTTCCGAGATCCTCGTCTCGGAGGTGGTACCCGGGCCGTGAGCTGACTCCATCACTACTCTCATGCCCGACGCCCGCGCCGGCCCTCCTCCGGCTGGTGAGGGAGACCCGGGGCGACTCGCCCTTCCTACTCCGAAAGCCAAAAATCTTCTTCATCGCAGAGCCTACGGGCTTCAGAGACATCTCGCCGTCCCCTCCGCTTTTCGCTGCATCCTGAACGGGACAACAGTACTAGAGATAAGCTAGCCGGGTCTCGCCACAACATCCCAGCGGCCAAAGTCCGCGGTTTAGAATCTTTCAGCGCAGACCAACTGTAGCCCGGCAACGGCCGCTAAACACAAGGGCGCATGCGTGTCCCTGGAGATGACGTCACTGCACTTGCGCAGAGAGACCTAGTGGCCAAGGGTACCCAGAGCGCATGTGCGAGGCCCTGGCGGCTCAAATCTCAGCGATCGCTTGTGGGAAGCGCTGCGTTCCCTTCAGACTTCCGTGGGAGTTGGCTGAGTGTTTGGCACGTTTGCAGAAGTTAGATTCTTTCCAACGGAAAAGCAGCCTTTGCTTACAACTGGGGCTACAGTAGCTTGGAAATTCAGGATGCCGAAGGACTCGTTCCCTAGAAAACTCCGCTAAAAAGACTCTCTCTAAATCTCAGCACTCAGTTTATTCCCCTTCCACATCCCTCGGGGCCCCTGCCAGTCTCCGTGGAATTTAGCGGATGCAACAACAGAAAGCTGTTTTCATGGTTTCAGAGATTGTGGCAATATGTGTCAAGTGCAGACTTAGGAGAAACCAATGCACATTCTCCAGATGAAATGAAACTCATTTCCACATGCCTTTTAACCCTCCCTCTTGGCCCGACCTTACCTTTACGTCGTCTTTACTTTTATTTTTTGCTTTTATTTTACCCAATTAAATCGTTACTCATTCCAAGATTTATTTTGGAGCATGGTGAAACGTTTAAGAACTTTTAAAAAAATAACTGTTGTCCCAAACAATCCATCTTTTCTCACCTAATTTAAAATAACACTTTATCTTAGATTAAATCCTCGGGTATGTTTTTTTCTTTTTCTGGGTTTTCCATTCTGTTCCATTGAATGGCTTGCTGCTTCTTGCATTCGTACTCTACTATTTTAACTTCATTTTGTGTCCCTCATTCACTTTTGGTAGTTCTTTATGTAAATCCTACACACTTCTTATAATTTGTAATGATTATTGTTTTGATATCTGTGTATCCATTTGACAACCAGAGTGAAGAACTTAATTTTAAGCTATAATTTTGTAACAGGAGAAAGAGGTGACAGTTTCTGGAACTTAGGGAAGGCACAAACTGGATGGTAAAGATTTCATCAGAAAGATGTAATATTGAAGAAAGGTATGATGCAGGTGAAAAAAAAATCGAGTAAAATGCACACAAGATAGGCTGATTTTATTGAAGGGTAAGATAATTGCCAAAATTTTAAAAAATATATAAAATAGCTATTTTTTCCTCAAATCCTATTAGCCAAATTTTTTAGTAATTGGCTACCTAACAGAGACATCTAACTTTTTTGTTTCCTCTGAATAGTTTCTCTGTTCCTTTGCTTTATCTACCCAAATCTATTCCCCTCTCTTATCAGACTGACCTTGTGTAATCTTATCATCTCCATTGTTATGAAGCCTCTGTGCTCTACATTTGTCCCATATTCCTTAAAATCTTTCTCATTTAAAATCTAAATAATCATTTCCCCTTGCTTCCATCTTTCTCTGTCTGCAACTCATGTGTTTCCGTCTTTATTCCATTTCTTAGGAAGGCAAATTATGTTGACTCCATACTCCATAGAAACTGGTATAAACAGGTGAGTGTATACAGAAACTCCTTATAATGTAATACTTGATCCAGTAATTCCACCTGGACTATAACCTGGTATTGTGGGTGAAGCAGACAGGAGCAGGAGAAGGTCCACGACACAGTTAATACAAAACCGATGAACCCAAAACTTATCAGGTTCCTATTATATTTGTTAGTGATTTCAAGAATTAACCAAAACAAAACGTAACAGAAATCACTGTTGCACAAGATGCACCAGCGAAATTTGAAAGTTTGGCAGCCATATTGTACTGCAACACAAATCCATAGACATTAAGTGCTTGTTCTTCAGAGGCCATTTAACGCCATTTTGTTCTTTGTAGATTGAATGATTTGACAACAAATTGTTTGGAATTAGCGACTCAGAAGTCGAGTGTCTGGACCTTCATCAGAAATTGCTGCTGGAATGTACCTAAAGAGCTCTGGAGGGCACTGGGGTCTCTGCTGAGGAGATGGCTGGTTCCAGGATGGGCGTCTTCGTCGGTGAAACAGCCATGAACAAAAACAGCAACAACAAAAAACCATTTCTCAGACCTCTCCAGCTTAGCTGGAGCAAATGGTTTGGGTGTGAATGGTTTCAACTATGATCACCAAGCTTCTCCTACAGTAGCCCAGCTAGAAAATTGTCCTTCATCCCCTATTTGTCTCCTCTGTATTCCCCAGGGTGACCTATGAGAACAATAAAGGCTCTCTGTAGTGACTTCTAGAGAGAAGACTCTGACATTCCCTGATGCAGCCTGGAATGAGGGTCAAAAACATAACTAGGCTGTAGGGAGGCAGGAACCACACAGCAGGACCCCAGGTATGTTGTAGAGATTTGGTTGACCCTAGTGTTTTTGTATGGACCAGAGGTACTCAAGGAGTGTGTGTTAGGCCAACTCTGAGCTTCTGTGTTCCTTGGTCAGATGCTATCTGGATCCCCAAAGAGTTTCTTACAAGCAATTGAAAGCTAAGGTTTCCCATTCCCAGACTTCTGTGGAAACTCATTTCAGATCCAAAGCAGACGCCTTCTAGAAAGTTGGTTAGAATGCCCATGCCTGTCTAAGGCTCAAATAATGCCCTGGTCAGCTTTCCTGCTCCCTCATTTAATAGTTATGCTAATGAAATTAATAATGTATTAAAGTAAGATTTGTTTTATGATGAAAAACAACTAAGATATGGATGTCTTAACAAATCCCTTAGCTAAAGTTCTCCAGTTCCAGTCCAAGGCTGTCATAAATGTTTTCTCCTTTTAACAGTTGCCGTGAAACTCATCAAACACTTTTCCACAACTGGTTCATTTGTTGTTTGGGATGTGTCTTCCCACGCATTCCACTGTGTCTGCTGAGGAAAATTAAGACTATATTGTAATTAAACCATGATTATACTATGAGGGCCCAAGGGTGTTGAGTCTGATCTACCAGTGTCTACCAGAGATCCCTGACCTGGGAAAACTGCATGAAAGGGACCATAAAGTTAAAATAGAGAAATGTACTGAAAAGCTTTATTCTGACATCATGTAACTCAGTGAGGAAAAAACAGACATGACATTCCTGTGTTCAGGGAGGAAGGGAAGTTTTATATTTAGTGCCATATTAAGGGTGGGCATGGAGGGCCTATAGAATCATGTAAAGAGGAGGATGGTAAGTCAGGGAAAGATGCACAGGAAGAAGTGATATCAAAGCTGAAACTGAAGGAATGAATAGGAGTTGGCCAGGGAGAGGGGAGGAAACGGAAAAAGCACATTCCAGAAAGAAGGGATAATGTATCAGTGAAGGTCTAATCAGGAGAGAAACCACTCAGTAATTTGGACAGGGGAAGTTCAAGAATTATTAACTATAACAGTAGATCAACTATAGAGCTGAAAAGAGAAATCTCAAGAATACCCTTGAGTGGCAGAAGAGCCAAGGAAGGAACAACTTAAATGGGTGGCTCCCCAAGGCTGGGATTAGACCTCATTGAAGAAGGTGTGGTACAGTTCCCTGAGTTGCCCAGGCCAGAACTAGTCCCCAGTCATCGAGCAAGCGGGAAATGCCCTTCAGGAGTGCAGGAAGCCCACTTACCAGCAGAGCAGTGCAAGGCCTGGGATGTATCATATCCATGTCCAGAAGGAGGCAGCAGACACCTTCAGGATACAGCAGAGTCAAGGCTGAGGGCTGGGCGCACAGAGAGAGGAGGGTGTCAGGAGCTGCTTGCCAGGGGCATGGTGTCCGTGTTGGGGGGTCACTGGCTGGGGTTGGACTGCGTGCTCAGGGGGTGCACAGCGGGGCAGAGCACTTCAGGTGTTGGTGCAGAAGGAACAAGAAGCAAAACAGCAGTACACCAGAACCTGGGCCAGGGCCACTCCTCAATCTCCAGGTAAACAGGAACAACCCACTGGGACACAGATGAGTTGAGGTTGGTAGTCTGAGGAAGTCAGACCTACAGGAGTCAAACTTCTCTGCTATCCATTGAGCGGTAACCACACCTCCTGCAACAAGGTTTGAACCCTCCTCCCGAGTTTGCCCTTTTGTGGGTACTCCCCTTCAGCCCTAGGGTGCCCTTCAGAGTTCTCTTTCCATCTTAATAATTACTGTCCTATCATAGCTTAATAATTCTTTATATTAAACTTCTACTGTTTAAATCACCATGTGCTACCTCTCTTCCAATCAGACCCAGACCAATACTGCGGCCATGGAGTTGCACTGTTCAGATCTGTCATCAAGAGAACCTAACATGGACAGCACAGATGAACTGTAGCTACTGGCTGCTGCCTTTTCTGTCCCCCATGGTGCTCCCACTGAGGCCTTGCATCTGCCATGCTGTGTTGAGCCAATGACTGAGCACAGAAGGGGTAGTAAGGCCAAGTCATTTCTGTCCACATAGGACTCCTCTGTGAGAAATCTCTTGATGGATACTCAACATCACAACCCAAGGGCCTACACTATGATTTTCCTGCTGGGGCTTGCCCTGAGACCCACACTATAACTTTACCCCACCACTGATACCACTAACACCGTGGGGTCTACCAGATCCTGTGAGCAAAGCAGCAGGGCTTCTTGAAGCACAGCCTGGAGCTACTGCAGAACTCATCTGCTCTGGGCCCACTTCGGTCTTGCATACTTTAGTGTCGCCAAGGGATAAGGACCAAGGAGTAGTCCTAAGGGTAGGACAGGGTTTCTCTACCTCGCTCTATTGACATATTGGGTCGGGTAATTTTTTGTTGTGGGGGGCTGTCCTGTTTATGGTAGCAGCATTCCTGAGTTCTACCCACTAGATGTTAGTAGCATCCTCAGTTGTGACAATAAAAATGTCTCCAGACATTGCAAAATGTCCCTGGGGAGCAGAATTACTCACCCACCCCTAAACATTGAGAATCACTGGTGTAAAATATGCTGCCTCCAGAACCCAGAGGCCAACTAGTGTCTGTCTTTCCTTCTTTGTGAAAAGGTATTCAAGAGGCAATTTCTCTTGCACTTCTGAGGGAATGTCCTGACATGCCCCTGATCCCTAAGAAGTT